GCAGACTGCTCTCATACAGAGGATAAGGGTGCTAATTCCATTCATGAAGGTTCCCCTCTTATGATGTAATATGATTTTCATGTCCTTCTCCAGACCCACAAGTTTCAGGTTTCCCGTTCCAGTCTTTGAAAACTGTTCTACAAGGTAGACATATTGACACAATTTGAAGAAAGCAGAGTCTATGCCCTGGAAAAAACAGGGAAATTTGTTTTGCAAACTGGTGTAATGCATTTGCTGTTTCTACTAAAGCAGATTAAAACAAAAGAAAAGCTGATCAAATGATTGCTCAATTTTGAAGTACCTTTAAGAGATTTTATTGCCAGTTTCAGATGGAGTGATCATGGGAAGACTCTTTAGAAGTAGCACTAAGCCGAGACCCAGGTGGATTAAAAAAAAAAGTGATGTGTATAGTTCCTCTGAACTAGGAAGTAATCTGTGAGAGGTTTTACTTATTTACATGCTTGTTTATTATGTACCCATCTTACCAGGAAAAAAAGTTCATGACAAGGTGTGTGCCCTTGTTGCCTCAACACCAGGAGGTGCCTGGCAAGCAGCAGGTGCCTAATAGAAGATTCCTGAATGAGTGGGGGGGGGGGGGTAAGGTCCCAGAGAATAGCAAGTCAAGGGAGAGTGACAGAAATAAGGCTATGAATGACAAGGGTTCAAGCACAGGGGTGCTTTGCACGCCACTGAAAGGTTTGGGCTTTATTCTAGACTTTCTCTAGTTATAACATGTTCCACTTTAAGATTGTTTTCCCGAAAATGGACTGGGAGGAAAACAACACTGAAGTGAAATCAATTACACTTTTTCAGGACTTCAGCTGATGGCTTGGACTCGGTTAAATGGCCTCAGAGATGGAGAAGATGGAGTCAGGGTTGGAAAGAGCATCCGTAAGACTTACTAATGGAACTAAATGGAAAACTCAGGAGCGGGCAAATTAAGACAAATGCCTCCGATGACAATGTGTCAGGATGAGAAAGCCTCTGTGGTGGACTAGAAGGGACGGGCTGGAGGCCAAACTTCAGGACACTTTCTAGATATGTTCAGTTGGAGGTGTTTATGGGATGCCTCAGTGGAGAAGTCCATTGGGCACCTTGGATACTCTGGAAATGTGGGCACTGATCAAGGCAGGCAACAAAGTGGGAAGTCTAAAAGCATGAAGGCAATATGTTCACCCACGAGAATCAAAGCAGTCACGTAGGAAGACAAGCTGAGAGATATGTGGTTCCAGATCAAGCCTTAAGGACGCATGGAGAACGCACACAAGACCCCGAGACAGCACAAGGCCTAGGAGACCTGGAAAGAAGGGGCTCTCTCGGAGTAACCCTACTAAGGAGAGGCTTCCAGCTGGCCTTTTATCATTATCAGCATGCCAAGATCTTCATTATAGAAAATAGTGATTAAAAAAAAGTAAAAGAAAAAATCATTCCCGATTTATTTGAAAGGAACTTACTGGGTTACATTGATTTGTTCAGTCCCCAAATGTCTACAGCAGGTCCTGGCAATAACTAGAACCTTGGAACTACTGTCCCCATCCTCCAGGGTGCTGGGGCCCAACTACTTGGATCACCTGCTGGTTTCCTAGGTTGACTAGCATGGAACTGGATCTCACTGGAGCTCATATGGGAAATTGAGACCCAAGAAATTCCAATCTGCTTTTTTTTTTTTTTAAAGATTTATTTTTATTATTTTTTCATTGGAAAGGCGGATATACAGAGAGGAAGATCTTCCGTCCGATGATTCACTCCCCAAGTGAGCGCAACGGGCCGATACTATGCCGATCCGAAGCCAGGAGCCTCTTCCGGGTCTCCCACACGGGTGCAGGTTCCCAAAGCTTTGGGCCGTCCTCGACTGCTTTCCCAGGCCACAGGCAGGGAGCTGGAAGGGAAGCAGGGCTGCCGGGATTAGAACCGGCGCCCATATGGGATCCCGGGCGTGCAAGGCGAGGACCTTTTAACCACTTGCGCCACCGCGCCGGGCCCCCAATCTGCTTTTTAAACGAGCTTGTCAATAGAACGGGAGGCGCTGATGGAAACCCTGGTCTTTAACCTGCGCCGCACGTTCGAGTCCCCACGGCCGGGGATGCACAGTCTGTGCCAATGAGTCTGTATCCCCGCCAGCGGGACTCTCAAAACCTCTCCAGGGGAGCCCAACGTGCGGTCCATCTGGAGACACGGAGCGTCGGGGGCGGGGACAGGAAGCTGGTTCCGCTGGGCTCGGGTGGCTGAGAACCCGGACGGCAGGAAGGGAGCCTCTCCAAACAGAAACCTGCGCGGTCCCCACTTGTTTTTTAGACTCAGTGCCGACGTATCATAATTTGGAAGCAGTACATGGGCAGGCCCGGACGACTCTTACCCACAAGGCAGCGCAGACAAGCCCCTGAAAAAGGAAGAAAGCCGCTCACCTAGCGCAGCGCCCCAAGTCGGGGACCGCCCGCCCGCGGGGCCTACCGGCTCCACCCGTCCGGCGCCGGCTGCCAATGGGACGCCGAGGGGCGCGGCACGCTGCCGCCACGCCCGGGGTCAGCCTCCGCTGACGTCAGGACGCTCACGGCTCCCTGCCCCACGCACCCCTCAACGCCGGCCCCCGAGAGCTCGCGGGCCGGGCAGGGGCGGGGCGTAGGGCCAGCTGAGCTATCCCGTCGGACCGCGCCAGTTTGAATGAAAGCTCCACAAGATGGCGGCTGCGGGGGCCGAGGCGCGAGGAGGTGAGGCTGGGGCGCTGCGCCCTCCCCTGCCCTCCCTGTTTTCAGGCAGGCTTCCGAGGCCCAGGAAGCGGGGCCAGCCCGCGGTTCAGCCGGCCGGCGACGTGGCGGGTGTCCTCCTGCCGCCCCACTTGACTCGCCGACCCCAGGATGCGCGCTGCAGGGCTCCTTCCCCCTCCTCCTGGCCGCTGACCCTGCTCCGGGCCTGGCCGCGGCCCCTCGCGTCCTGCCTCCCCTCGCGGGGCTCGGAAGGTGGGCGCCCGCGTGAGCCCCGGACGCCCCGGGCTGTGTGGGGGCGTCGCTTCCCGCCGCGCGCTCGGCTCAGGCCGGCCCCTCAGCGCTGCCTGCGGTGGACCGGGCGCCGCGGTAACTTTGCTGTGGTCTCCCGGCTCGAGGTTTTGTGGGCACGCTTGTGGTGACTCCTTTGTGGTATTTAAGGGCATTGCGTGTGGTGTTCACTTTGGCTTTTTTTTTTTTTTTTTTTGTTAACGGAGAAGCTGGAAACGGTCTCTACAGGTATAAACGTGACCTTGGTGTATCACTGGGAGGAAGAAAAATGGGGGTTGAAGTGAGTTTAGAAAGGGAGTAAGTGAGGTGCTGCCCAGTATGGACCCAAAAGAAGGCTTAATTGCCCGCTTGGTGAAATTCTCCCAGAAAGTACACGTGTGAGGGCACAGCCTGTGCACTACGGCTACTTTGCTGCCCACCAGGAACTTGGTATTATTTATGTGGCCACCGAAGAAGCACACTGAGCACGCGCGCGCGTGTGTTTGTGCGTGTGTCCGTTTGCGCGCTCTCTGAAAGCCCGGCATTTTAAGCGTGTTCTGGAATTCAGACGTTCTTTGGTGCTCTGCCCCACGTAGATTGTCTCTTTGTCCCCGAACTTTCCTTCCTTTGAGAAGGAACTGGTTGGTGTGAACTAATGGAAGGTTTTAGTAGTAGTGTAGGAATAGTTAATCTTGGTGAACTTCTTCTATTAATACAGGCTTTTAAAAATTCATTGCAGTTTTATTTATGTATGTATTCAGGTTTGTTTATTCGTAAAGATAGCCTTTCCATCGAGCGTGGTGTTTTGAATGCTCAAGTAGATAAAAATTTTGGGAAGCAGCGGAGAACACAGCTTGGGTAGATAGCCAAGAGAGTCAACATTATGAGGTTAACTTTACACAAGAGGCAAATTTTTCCCGTGATGGAAACTTAAGGAAATCATTACTTTTCTGCTTCAAACCACCACTACAAGTCAACCTGTTCCTCAGCCCCAATGTTTTAGGAGAAGTACTTTTTCCACCCCCTTCCTTCCTTGATTTGGAATTATGAGCAGGTGGTGGAAATTGTGCTTCAGAGTCTGCCACTGAAGTCTGGGTGCGGTTTGGGGATGGATGGGCATGTGAAGAAAGAACAAACGTAGAGCAGCTGTGCTCTTCCTGCAAATGTCCTCAAAACAAAAGGTTATGGCCACTACCTTGGAGAGCTACCACATGCGGCTCTAGTTTTACTGATGGATTTCTGTTTGGCAACCAAGGTCTTCTCCAACCCGATTTTTTTCAGTGAATTTGATTCCCCAAAAGATCACAAACTAGGTAGGCTGGAGCTGCATTGACCTTGACAGTAGCCAGGAAAACAGGTTAATTACATTTTTCTAAACGTCACTTTGTGTTCATTTGTATTATAAGTTGAGTATGGTAGCATGATGACTACAGAAATTTGAAAGTAGAATCTTGGACAACACCAGCGATTTTCTGGCTTTTCTAAGGTAGACCATGTCTAGTTTTCTGCTAATCTGGCATCTGGATTATGTAAATTGAACATTACTTAATGTCCAGCTTTAAAAAACTACAGAAAATGAGTGTTGCCAGAAAATCAATATGCACTCCATTTTCAGAATTGTAACTCTCGAATTGGTTCACCTTGGTACTACAGCATGAGCAGAATAAGTTGGGAAAACTAGGGCAAACATGATTTTGTAATTCAGAACTGCATTTTAATTAGGTGTCTTCTAATTGTCCAATTAAAAGAAATGAATAATGATACTTTCCAACAAATTGAAGGTTGTATTTTAAAATTTATTTTGGATGTACTTTTAAATAATAAGTATGTTGTGGAGATCTCTATTTTATATACAATAATCTGTGTAGGATAAAATAAAGTTAAAAATGTCGCCCTGTTGACCTTTGCACCTGTATGTAAAGAAAAGTTAAACATGAAACATTTTGTTCAAGTGGCTTAGTAGAAATTAATGTCAGTTATACATAATAAATTCATCAGAAATATCCAAGACCACCAGTTTGTAAAAGTAGTTCTTTAATACTTTGTCTTGAAGACACATCATTGGTTTCTTCTGATGTGCATTTTTAGTCCTGTAAAATTGCCAGGTGCAGGGTGGGGATATAGAAGTTTTAAGATTTTTTTGTTTTAATTGAATAGTTTCATTAGTAAAGAATTGTATTTTCTTATTGTAGCTTGGTGTGTGCCTTGCCTAGTTTCACTTGATACTCTTCAGGAATTATGTAGAAAAGAAATGCTCACATGTAAATCGATTGGAATCACCAAAAGGAATCTAAACAATTATGAGGTGGAATACTTGTGTGACTACAAGGTAGAAAAGGTAAGGCAAATATCTAGTCCGTTAAAAGAGACCTAATCAGACTTCCTGATTTCTATAATATGAAAGAACCTTGAAAGTAAGCAGCGTTCTTAATGTTTAAAGAGTAAATGTTTGATCTCAGATTGGCTTTTCTTGTCATTTTGTTCCTGGATCATATTTCTTCACTATTACCTGAAATGAACCTAAAATTCAAACCAATTTTAGCATTCATCTCAAAAAGCGTTGTTTCTATTTCCTGCCATAATGTTAAACTCCAGGTACTAGTGAGATTTCATAGAATTGTAGAATGGCCTGAATTTCCAAGTCATTTCTAGTCTTGATTTTAGGACTGTGTGACTAGCAAACTCATTTAACTTCACTTGATCTTAGCCAAGAGGCCGAGAAGCGATAAGTCATTTAACTTCTCTAGGCCTTCCTTTATTCTTGAAAATGGCAGGGTAATTCTGTTAAGGTTTTATTATTATTATTAATCTAAACCTTTAGGATTATATTTTTGGCAATTTACCTGTAGCTTTCCTCCTTCACCCCAAAACACATTTTGTGATAATTAAAGCTATTAGTTTCTGTCAGGTGAATGTCTTGAGAATCTTGTTTAATCTTTTGTTTTCCTTCATCTTTTGTGTTAAATCACTCAATCCAGTTTTTTGAAATGTTTGTCCTTTAGTGTCACTGCCTTCCCTACTCAAGTAAACCCTTACAGTCAGGCATTTCACCTGCACTCTCACATCCTTCACAGAAACAGCCCAGTTTGTAAAATCTGGATTGCCCAGTCAGTCTAGTTGGAAATGTCATATAATCATGCATATTGGCTCCATTAAAACTTAATTTTATTCTCCTACTGCCTCAATTCTATTTGACAAAGACTTTTTGTCTATTGCTGTCTTTTTCCATTCTTGTCAGTAGTTTTCCCAGCTTTGATTACTTTTTGGATATGATACTTTTTCTAATTTCTCTTATTCGGATTAAGATCCCTCCTGCCTCAATGAAAAATACAATTGAAGATTCAGGTGTAAACTGAATTTTCCTTCACTACCAGTTCTCCAGATAGTCACCCACTCTTTCAGAGGTGCCTTGATTTTTCTTCCTGGTTATCCTCTTTAGGAATTTTCTTAATTCTTGATTTTTTTTCAAATCAGGCTTCCTTTTTCACTGATTTATGTCCACTGATAAATATTCAGATCTTCCCTCAGAAATCTTCATATCTCCTCACTCATAAAAGTACTTTCCTGTCTTCTGCTTCACTTCCAATAAAATTTTTAATGGCTTTATTGAGGTATAATTCACAAACCATCATCTAGACCACTTATTTTAAAGTATACATTTCAGACATTTTAGTATACTCAAAAGTTTTAGAACCTTTCTCAATATCCCCAAAAGAGACCTTAAGCCCCTTGGATATCAACACGCAGTTCTCAGCCACCTCAGTCTAAAGCAGCCATTGTTTTGTCTGAGGGTTTCCCTCTTGAGACACTGCATACAAAAGGAATGTGATAAAATGTGGTTCTTCTTTGATTGGTTTTTTTTTTTTTTTTGTTTAATGCAGTGTTTTCAAGATTCATCCATGTGGCATACTACAATGGTTCATGACCTTTTTTTTTTTGCCAAATAATATTCCCGTATATGGTTATATCACATTTATCTATCACTTGATGAACACTGACTTGTTTGCAATGTAGTAGTATTGTAAGAATACTGTTATAAACATTCATGTGCAAGTTTCTCTTGGGACACATTTTCATTTCTCTTGGTTAATGACTAGGAGTGGAATTGCAGGGTTATATAGAATCTCGTTACCCTTTTGTAAGAGCTGCTAGACTGTTTTCCAACGTGCTGCATGATTCCTTCCTTCCCACTGCCAGTACATGGGAGTTTCAGTGTCTCTTGCCTGTCCAGTACTTGATGTTTCTGTGGGATCGTCCTTGTGAGTGTGATGTGATTGTTCATTGTGGTTTTGATGAACATTTCTCCAAGGGTGAATGAATGATGCTGAGCACATTTTTATGTGTTTTTTGGACCGTTGTCTTTGGAGAACGGTTTGGGTCCTTTACCACTGGATTGTTTATCTATTGTTGAATGTAATCTTTGTGTATATAGTCTGGATATAAGTTCCTTATTAAATATAGTTTGCAAGCATTTTATTTTGTGGTTTATCTTTTTTACTTCCCACAGTTTAACTCACATTTTTCTGGTTTATACCTCTTTCAGCAGCCTTATAATTGCCAAGTTTAAAGAAATCAAAGAATCTGTTATATGCTGCTGCATTAAAACTGTTGGCTGCCATTTCTACTTTTAAACCATCTTATTTCTAGAAAGACTTCATAGGCCCACATTTTGGTTCTATTGTTTATTGATCTTCAAGTTCCTTGGTATCTTTGTCACTTAGTTTGTCTATAAAATGAAGATCTGGGCCCAGAGCAGTGGCCTAGCCACTAAGGTCTTTGCCTTGTATGCACCAGAAACTCATTTGTGCGCTGGTTCGTGTCCAGCAGTCTTGCTTCCCATCCAGCTCCTTGCTTGTGGCCTGGGAAAGCAGTCAAGGATGGCCCATGGCCTTGGGACCCTGCACCCATGTGGGGGACCCAGAAGAAGCTCCAGTCTCCTGGCTTCTGATCAGTTCAGCTTCAGCCATTGCAGCCACCTGGGGAGTGAGTCAGTGGACAGAGGATCTTTCTTTCTTTCCTCCTCTCTGTATATATGGCTTTCCAATAAAAATAGCTAAATCTTTTAAAAAAATGAAGATAGTTATATAGGACCTATCTCTTGGGAGATGACTAGCATTCAGAGATAATATATATCATAAAGGATGCTTAGAGGCAGATGTGTGGCAGTTACACTCTATCAGTGTTTGTTGCCTCTGTTACCTTTCTCCTTATTTCCTCCTAGTTTTCTTACTGTTCTTTAGAAAGCTCTTTAAGTGTTCCTTATTCTTTCTCTGAAATGTAGGTCATCACCTGGGACTGCCCTTGGCTCTCTTGCCACCTTGAAGTTGCTCTGTAGGTGACCTCTTTCCCAGTGGTTTTAGTTTCATCTGGTTGGTTCAGGACTCCACAAACTTTCCTGAGGCCCTCTGTGTAATTGCTGCAAATATCCTCTACAGGCACCCGCCTCAGTACATTCCAAACTGCACCCGTTTTCCTCCCTCAGAATACTGTGCCAGTATTTCGCATCATTAATGGAATCATCATTCTCCCAGTTACCTCGCCTCAACTTTTCCTTTATTTCTTTTTTTCCATCTTACCCTTTGAATTCAGTAGGTGATCTAATGTGTTATCACTGCCTTTTCTGTCTTTTCCTAATGACTGTTATATTTTCAGAGATAGAATTACATTGAGAGTCTGTGCTTTTGTTTGGGACACTATCAAAGTTCTTGTAGAATTGGCGCGTGTCCTAGCTTAGTTTCACATAGTTATTGTTTGTTTTCTTGTCATACTGTGTGATTGCTTTGCATATTTATACCCTCAGCAGCCTGCTTTGGGCCTTACTCTTACTAAGCTCAGGTGTTCAATCTCTGAGCCCATATTCACAAATTGCTAATCTTTGTCTTCTCTTTTACGTATTCAGTGTAAATGAAAGATCTCCCAGCTTGGTCCTTTAATTCTGTTGACTCCTGCAGGTAGCTCATGAAAATCCCTCTGTCTGTATCCTATTCCTCAGGACTCTATTACAGTTAGATCTTCTGACTGCACTGGAGCTTTGCCTAAGCCCTGTTAGTTTCTTGTCAGCCTGACTAAAGTGAGATGCTTTGGCATGGGACCAAGGTTCTGTATCTGGTCAACAACCACCTGTCCATCTCATTCCTACCTTCATAGCCTATTTTCTATCCACATAGAAATGTTTGTAGACTTTATTGTTTTTAAGATTTATGTTTTTTATTGGAAAAGCAGATCAGATTTACTGAGAGAAAAATCTTCCATCCACTTGTTCTCTCCCCAAATGGCTGCAGTAGTGCAGTGGCCAGAGCTGAGGCAATCCGAAGCCAGGAACCTCTTCTGGGTATCCCACGTGCAGGCAGGGTCCCAAGATTTTGGGGCATCCTCTGTTTTTCCAAGCCACAAGCAGGGAGCTGGAAAGGAAGTGGAGCAGTTGGTACATGAACTGGCACTCACATGGGATCTTGCAGTGTGAAGATCCAGCCACTGAGTCATTGCGCCATGTCCCATTTGTAGACTTTGATTTACCTCAGGCTGAGGGAGTACCTGCTATGTTCTGAGCATTGTTTTGAAGCCTAACAATATAGCTTAAAAAACAGACTTAATGGGGTAGGCAAATGACTGAGTAAGCCATCTGTAGAGTGGATGGAAGATCTCTCTCTACCTCTGCCTTTTTTAGACAGGCATAACTTACATTTTCATTCCTTAAACACACCATACATCTTTGTACCCTGTTGCTATTCTCAGCCAGTTTCTACTTTGTGATAATATTGCTTCCTTTCTCTGCATGGCAAAATCTTATTTAAAGATGATTCAACATAGGTATTACCAACAATTTTAGAATCACCTTTCTTCCTTACCTCCAGCAAAATTCTTTTATGTTTAGGACTTACAAAGTACTGTTCTTGTCATTATTCTAGAACTTGTCAACATTTTTAGTTTGCCACCTTGTCTGTTACATTATTAACCATTTGAAGATCAAGACCGTGTCACATCATAATCCCTATAGTCAGTAGTTAGTGAGTTGAATTGTCTTTTGTGTGAGTCATTTCTCTCTGCAATCACTACTAGATTAGCATAATTCTTAGATTTTAACAGTAGTTTATTGACTGGTATCTCCTGTTTCTTCTTCCCATCGATGCATTCAATAAATATTTGTATTTCTTCTGTGTGTCAGGTACGATAGTGGGCACTGAGAAAATGAAGGTTAATAAGAAATAGGGCAGGCATTGTAATCCAACAGGCTAAGTCAGCACTTAACAAATGGCTGCATCCTGTGTCAGTGTGTCTGCTTCAAGTTCTCACTATCTCTTGTTCCTAATCCAGCTTTCTGCTAATACAGTTGAAAGT